GTGGTAAGAGGGCCAAAGGTAGTTAGTTGCAAGTTTGAGCATGTGGTTATGGCATGCTTTCTTTGACTTGTCACTTCCTCAGACTCTTTACATATAGTAATGTTAGGGAAATGGTGTAGTTTGTGGGTTTGAAGCAAGTGATCAGTTTGGCCAACTGTGCTGACAAGCTCAGCTTTTAAAATCTAATATGGCTGCAGTTAACAGCACTGCGGCTAACAGCACAGTTGTTCATCTCAATTCACAAGATTTAGAAACCAATTCAGGATGCTGGTAAGAACAGAAGACGAGGGAAGAAATACTTGAAAGTCAGCAAAAGTCACCTTGGTAACTGCTGCATTACACTCGCTCAGAATGAAGAGACTTCAAACATGACTACAAACAGCTTTAAAGAAACAAAAAGAATTTAATCATCTAAAGAATTAATCTGACAACTGCCCACACTTACGCCTCCCACAATCCTTCAATCACTTGGGAATGAGCTTTAATCTTAGATTCCCCTCCAGTTCCATAAAATGCTAGATATGCAGTCTTCAAACTGGGGCATTTCCGGCACACTGCTCTCATTCAAACACCCTCCTTCTCTTCACACAGCAGCCCTGGCTTTTGTCAGTGTTCTTCCCCCCCACCCTCTCTCTCTCTGTTTGTTTCTAGATGCAAACTGAGAAGCATGAATTATTTGTGTTGGTTGGATGAAGCATTTAGTCTGATAGAGATACTTGTGATATTTTTATTTCAAGTTAGTACAACCTTAAACATAAAAAATAAACAACTGAACCATCTTTATTAACTGCATCTGGTTAAGTGCAGGAGTGAAGGGGAGAAACCAAGATGAAGTATGGTCTTAAAAATGAAACTTAAATTAAAGCTACAATTTGAAGACAAAAGAAGGTGCAGTAATGAGTTCTTGATTCTCTCCCTCCCCGTTTTTTTCTGAAAGGCTAGGAATTCCATCACTCCCTCATCTGGGTTGTCCTCTTTCCCAAGGGCCAGGCATGGATTTTCATTCATGCTAAAAGAATGTGAAAATCTCCTGCACACTTGGTTCTTTATTCAGCTTAGCGTAGGTTATTGAAAATCTAATATGTGGGTGGCCCTGCCAGTACCCTCCCATTCTTAAGAGCTGGCAAGGCAAAAAAGAAGGGCCTTCATTTTAGAGACAGAATAGATGGAAGACTCTAAGCTTCCACAGTTACACAGTAAAGAAAATCTCTTGGTGTCAAGAGCCAGAGCCAACAGGTCTCAGTCAAAGATGGCTTTAAGGCAGCTCATTTCAGAGCTTCTACACAAATCGGTGTGGAGAAGAAGCTCAACAGGATGTTGCCAAGCCAGGAAATGAGGCAGGATGAATTTCAAGGCCAAGAAGTAAACTCCTGGAATATTAGGGCAGGCAGAAATTGGGGCAACAGCAACAACCAAAAAAAAAAAAAAAAGCTTAAGTAAACTTTATATACGTTTAAAGTTGGAACTATATGGCTTATTAGTCTTACACATCATAAAGTGAAAATACGTGTTTATATTGTCAGTTTTCATCAAGTACATCACATAACTTACAGTGAGCAGGTTCGCAGCAACCCACACATTGTTGGGGATGAGCAGGAGTGAGGCAGTGCACCACCCTCAAGCATTTTCATTGCTCCCACTTTCAACTAACAGCCTGCAATCTACTGCAGGTTATAATGATACCCACGTACTTATGTAATTTAAGCAAGAAGCTGTGGATTAACTCTGGGTTGTGTAATTTGGTCTGGATGTCACAGTAACAATCTGTGAAGGGGGCAGTTGTAAGTTGTTAATTGAAATTGAAAGTGACAAGCATATCAGAGACTGCATACTTGCTCAGTCCCACTAGATTTTAGGAATTGCCATTATATACAAAACAGGTTACATATACCAAGGTAGCTTCTCATTGCCAGAAATGGGTACTGATTTCCAAAACCATAAACCACCTTTATAGAGCATTGTGTATGCCATTCATTTATTAGATTACATAGACCCAGATACAGGAATTCAGGGTCCATAGCACTACTTCTTGACAGCATGTCTTTTATTTTTATCTGCAGTTCATTGCTCTGGCAAAAGTTGTGTAGCAACACCTTTCTCGGCAAGTTGACTAAGATCCTGTGATAAGGGCTAGGTGAAGAAAAAGCTAATACTGTAGTAGAATTCATATTTAGCACAATTCATTCTTTGTATTTGGATAACAACAGTAAGCTCAGCTAAGTCTGACTATAAATTGATGGTTATTTCCATTGGAAATCTCTTAGCAGTAAGTTTTATGTGAAAATAAATGGTACTCTCTTTTCTGAGTAAATGAAACCTAATCCTAAGAGTATGCAACTTTCCAGTAAAGCAATCTGAACAGGTATTTTGGGTGCCCAGTGCAGGCCCCCAGTTCTCCAAAGGTTTCCATCAGTATCCTCTAGGTTTAAACTCTGCTGTATTATTTGTTAGCACTAGCTAAGGTATACTCCTATGCAAGTTAGGGAAAAATGTACGACTCCCAGCATGACCTAGGCGGCATAGTGGACTGGAACATGTGAGAGTTATAGTTCTTTTTTTCCTTTCAAAATTTTCATAGGATCAAACCCTTAGTCTTGTTTATAATGATACAGAGTAAACCCAAGTTGGCTCCAGTGTCCATAAATTTTGTCATTCTACTTCCTAACTTGCAACTTTGGGGTATATGGTTTCAACATATCAACATAGTGATATGTTGCTTTCAAATATCAACATATTTGATATTTGGTACTTTGCAGTAGTTTAATTTTGCTTAATGTGCATGAAAGATAAAAAAGGTTTAGCTGAAACCCAACTGGATGTCATAATAAAATTTAACTGCAAAGCACATTCTTCAAAGTCTGCTCCATGTCGTTGTGGTGTTTTTTTTTAAGTCCTTCCTATTCAGTTACACCACACTGCTTTGTATTCTATTTTCATTTTTTAAAATGGAGAGAAATAAAGCATGCAGCTGAAACCTTAACTTTTTGTGGAAGCTGTATCTATATGAATTGTGCTGTGACCCATATAACAGTGGTTCTAAAATGGTGGGATTATATCAATTAACCAGGGAGTCACAAGACTTTGAAGTGTGGATCATTTCCTCTATTCTTCTGGCCAGGTTTTCCTTAAATGAAATAACTTTCCATTTTGCTAACAATTTACCTCACAATTTGCAGGAGATGTTGTCCTTTCTAAAGAGGAAGTCTTTGATTTCAAGAGGGAAGTGCTTGAAGCAAAGTCTGTTGTAGAATCTTTCAGACTTTGGTCTGTTGTAGAATCTTTCAACCTGATATGCTAGTCCTTTGGGTCACCCCTCTTATCAAGAAAAAGAAGCCTGAAATTAATACAATTTCTCCTGGCTGAGGTCTTCTGATCATTTTGCCTGGTGTTGATGTTACACAATGCATGCTAGTTGTGAAGTGTCTTGTTTCCATTATTACATGTGCCAGGCATGGGCTGCTTTCTTGTTCAGAGCTGACAAGCATGAGTAACAGCACCCCAGTACCCTAGAACAAATCATAGGTTGTTGGGTAGTTTGGAAGCCAGGTTGAAAAAACATGGCAACCCTCACTTAGTGTCCATTATAATGAAGATGTGGTAGCTCCTGACTGGCTTGCACAGGATGGGGAAAAGAAGCTACTATGGCTTCATTTTCTTTCCCAATGGTGTGTTCTCAGTCAAAAGGTTCATAAGACATAAGGCAGGAAATGAGACAGAAGTAATTTAAGGGTAAAGAAACAGACTCATGGAATCTTAGAGTGGACAAAAATTGTGGAGAACAGGAAAGGCTTTTTGAAAGTTTCATATATCTATCCAGTTGTGCAAACCTGGCTTTTTATCTCACTGGGGAAACTAGCCAGGAGTTTGGTGGAAAAATTTTCCAATTTAGGCTTCTGCAAACAATCATGAACAAATTTAGCAAGTTTGGATAACCTGAAAGAAGCAGCTCTGGACTGTACATCTCTTGCATTGGGCAATCTGCTGATTGAGTAGCAGTCTGTATATGTAATTTAAAAAGAGCTGTTCTTCATAACAGAGGAAGTATTTTGGTCTTTTCAGAATTTAGTATAACAATGTTTGATATTTTGCTAAAGCAGTCAGACTTACAGACTTACTTATACCTGCTTAGTAAGGTATACCTATCTTCAAGTGCCACTACATGTACTTATATCTCTGGAAAACTCTTGGCAGTATAGGAAAAGTGTTTCCTTCCAACAGCAGGCTTGCAAGTCACTCCCCTCCTTGGAAATTGTCAGTGGTGTGACTTAATGCCTTCTCCCCAGGGGCCTCTGCCACAGACAGAAGGGATTTCATTGTCATCCTAACATATATTACCCTGAACTTCTGTCCTTTTTTCTAGTTCCTCTGTATCCTCTAAGCAAGTATAGTAGTTGTATTATATTATATAAAATGGTGTTTTAGTATATTCTTAAGAATTGTGTCTATTGTATGACAGAATATAAACTCAAATTGTGGGTACAAAATGTGCTGTACATGTAACACACAATTCAAACCACACAATGCTTTATTAAAAGTACTTAAAAACACACGAAGGACAAAATCATGAAAGTTTTCTGTAGAAAGAGTATGAATTTCACAGTCTGGTTATTCTTGTCATGTACTTCAAATTTAAGGCCGTATAATAATGTTGCTTAGTCTTTGGCAGTGATTCCCTTTTTTCAGTCTGAAGTAAATTGTATTTTTGTAGAACTAACTGTAGTAGTAAAAAACAGAGAATAAGCTCCTTAAGAGTCAGTATCACTGGGTCAGAGTAAAGTGTAATAAGTTGGAATATAACATTGTAATGTAGAAAATAGCGTGCCCTTGGATGAGCTGCCTACATACAGCCGTGTATCTTTGCATCTCTGAGAACTTGTGTTGGCTTCTTCTGGGATACAGCTTTGTCATGCTAATCTACTACTTTCATCTTTCTACTTAACTGATATAAACAAGATAACTGTTCTTAGGCACTAAACACCTATGTTTTTTCTTTTCCCTAGGAGTCGCAAGGACAGTCTGGAAAGTGAGAGCTCAGCAGCAATTATTCCTCATGAATTGATTCGCACTAGACAGCTTGAGAGTGTACACCTAAAATTCAACCAGGAATCAGGAGCATTAATCCCACTTTGTTTAAGGTAAGTGGAACTTTACTTTTCCTGTAAAAAACATGCTAGTATAGCTGTGGCTAAGCTATCTCCAGCCTCAAAGGCTAGAGTGAATACAAGACATTTGTCTGTGACACATGCACTTGTAAATATACCCACTAATAATGTAGTATGTACATGCAAATATGGTACAAGGCTTAAATTGATCCACCTTCAGAAGACGCTGATGAGACTTTTAAAAAATGCTCTTTGCAAAAGTTGCCTTGTGACCCCTTACACAGTAGACAATAAACTGCAGTTGCAAACATCTTCCTGATTTCAGAGCTGCCTGAGTAAATCCAAAGCCTTTGATTAACTTTTGTATCAGCTTTCTTTTCCTGCCTAAACTTCAGTTATCACCAGTTCCTGGTTATCATAATTCTAGGCAATTATATGACCCAATATCAGCCTTGAAGCCATGTTTATTTGAAGCTTTTGTTTATCTGAATGTTTCACATATCTTTTATTAGTGAAATTTTACTGTTTTTTTCTTTGAGTTTACAGCTTAAAATCATACAGTTGAAAGTAACCATTTGCCTTGAAGCCTTTAAAAATGTTATAGCCCACACATACCATCTTAATTTACTATTCAAATGAATCTGATTTTGTTTATTGAGGATAAATTTATTAAATTTCTCATTACAGTTCATGAGCAACAGTAAAATGTGATTAGAACAAAGAAGTGTAGGTCAGGTGTAGATTTCCATTTAGCCTTCCAACCTAACAGTCATTCCCTGTGGCATGAGAGTCATTTCTTCTACAAGTTGATTAGGCTACTGTATGCTTGTGTATATTGGAAATTACATGCAGTACAAATTGCATGGGACTTCTTTTTTACCCAAGGCCACAGTCTACAAAGGCCTTATTTACTTAAGACCTTGGCCAAGTTATATTCACCATACCCATACTATTCTTTTTAAATCTGGGAACATACAGTGATGTGCATAAATGTCATGGGATTTGAAGAGTTTAGTTTTTGAGTGCCACATGGGGAAGGTAGTGAGGATTTCTAAATCACATTTACATGTGTTAATATTTATTCTTCCAGGGGCAGATTATTACATGGACGGCACTTTACGTACAAAAGTATTACAGGGGATACAGCAATCACTTTTGTATCTACAGGAGTTGAAGGAGCCTTTGCTACAGAGGAACATCCATATGCAGCACATGGACCCTGGTTACAGGTAAGAGTTCCTCCCATTCCTCTTTTCCTCTTTGTTGCAGTCACTCTTCCCTTTTTGGGTCTTCCCAAAAGAATGATCTTAGCTTATTTTCACTGTATTATATTTAGGCCAAGAGAGTCTTTGCATTCTTCTCCTGTTTCTTTTGAAGTATATACGGAAGGGAATTTTAAGCCAAAAAGTAATGGCAGTTTCTAATACCCTCTTCTATGTAAACAGCAATTTTCTCTCCCAGAATCCCAGAACATTTTACAAACTCTGCATCCTCTAATTCCTTCTCTCACCACTGCAATGCAGCTACCTTTGTAGTCACTGTTGTTTTTGAACAGCATACTACAGCCTTGGAGGCGAGGTTACAATATTTGAACCCACGAAGAACTCAAAAGGAAAATCAGAACTACAGAACTAGGATCCTTGCAAAATAATTTTAGCCTAAGGCAACTGTGGTGAAAAGGCCTGGCTTTTGAGAAAAGAGCTGTGGAATTCTTCCTTCTCCCTAAGAATAAACACTAACAACATAATTCCTGATTTTAACAATCTGCTAGGGCACCACTTCAAGAAACAATTTGACCAAAGCTTACTGCCAAGATGAACTGCTAGCTTAGTTTTGAGTCTTTTCCTTTAAAACGTCCAGTTTATGGATTCCTACATCTACTACCCTGCCCCCTGCACACTGAGTATGTTGTTTCACTCTTTCTAAAATCCTGCCATCATGACTGTGTGCTGTTTCTAGGATGAACTAAAGAGGCAGGAAATAAAATTGAAATACAGAATAGCTCTTCTAGGGGAAGTGGCCGAGCCAGCCAGCAATCTGTGGAAAAATTATTTGAAGCAGCTGAGTTAAATTTCTTGCCTTCCAGTGATGGAACACTCTGTGGCTTATCTGTCTCGCAATGGCCCATTGTTAGGTATGGATGCTTTCTCTGCTAAAAAGCTTGACTGAAGTGATGGAGAGCTAGGGTAGGCTTGATCTGTAGAGATTCCACTTCTCTGGTCAGATACCACATCCGCCAGTTTTGATTGCCTCTATCTAATGCAAGACACCTAAGAGAGGACTGGAGTTTTGTTGGTGTACTGGCCATCCTAACAATCTCCCTGTCTGAGCTAACTGAGCTGGTCTTGAGTGTAGTATTAGAGACCTCAAGTCTCTGAGGACCTTAACACTTATGCCAAGGTTTCCTTGTTATCAGGATTAGTTCAGGATTTTATGACTTTCATGTCAACTATGGGCCTGTTTCACATATTATCTAGCCCAACTGATGTGCAGGTCATACCTTGGCCTTTGTTTTCTGTGCTGGATTGGCAGAAAAAGATGTATAGGTGAGAGAGCTAGTAGTGACTCCATGGACTCATTCAGTGTTGTACTGGGTACCTAGACTTCTGGGGTGGTCAGTGCCTCCCTGAAAGACAGCAAGGTTTCCACAGCTTTAACAGAAGCAGTAGTCAGGCTGTTGAAGAAACCAAATCCTGTGGTTTTGGATAACTACCATCCTGTGTCAAATTTTCCATTGTTGGGAAAGGTGCTGAAGCATGTGGTAGCCTCACAACTCCAAGCAGTATTGGATGATTACTCAGATCCATTCCAGTCAGTTTCAAACCTGCTTATGGGCCAGAAACAGCCTTGGCTGCCCTGGTTGATGACTTATGCTGGGGAATGGATGGGAGGAGGACAGCCATTTCAGTTCTTTTGGACCTCTCAGCAGCTATTGATTTTATCAGCCATGGTATTCTTCTGCCTTGTTTTTATCAGCATTGGGCTTAAGAGGCATAGTATTAAAGTGGTTCTAGACCTTCCTGTAGCAGTCTAAGAAAGTAGTGGAATGGGGAATTTTGTTCAACCCTATGCCATTAGACTCTGGGGTGCTGGAAGGTTCCATCCTATCCCCTGTGCTTTTTATTTGTAGAGGAACTTCCTGGAGGAAATCATCAGGAGGTTTGGGATGAAGTGTTACTAGTATGCAAAAAGTACTCAGCAATACCTCTCCTTTCATCTTCATGTCCCAGGGAGGCTGTTGAACTCTTGAACTGAAGGCTACTTGGGAGATAAATGTAACAAGCAAAATCTTAAATCCAGATAAGATAGAGATACTGTGGGCTGGGAAAACAACTCCTCTGGACAAAGGCTTACAACTGGTCTTAGATGGGCTGCATTCTCTAAAAGACCACAATATGTATTCTGTGGGTGTTCATTGACTCTATCCTAGCAAGGGATGTCCAGGAGGCTGTGGTATCCAGAAGCATATTGTACCAGCTTAGGCTGGTACATCAACTGTATCTGAAAAGAACACACCATGCCTCAATTATCCATACCACTAGTAATGTCCAATCTGGACCACTGTAATACACTGTACATGAGCCTGCCTTTGAAGTGGAGGGCTGCCAACACCTATATTAGTCACCTATACTTTAAGATCAGAAAAAGAGGCTCTTCTAATTTGCCCACCTTTGAGGGCATCTAGGTGGGCAAATAGACAAGAAAGTGTTATTTCCACAGTGATTACACACCGCTGGAATGAGTTGCCACAGAGGGTCCACCTGGCTGCATCATTGCAGGCTTATAGGAAAGCCCTGAAATCTTATTACTTAACTTTGACTTTCCCCTGATTGTTTTATCAAATTCGGTTGTAGCTGTGTATTGTAGGTTTTATCTTATGCTTGTTTTCAGAATGCTTGCTGTTTTTATAACCATTTCAGTTTGGGGAGGGTTTCTTTCCAGAAAGGTGACCAAGAAATATTTTAAATAAAATACCTTAAAATATTGCAGAGCTTTGCACAGAATCTATAACTTGTAGCATGCATAAGAACAGAAAGGCTTATTGTATGGAATTTTTGACCTGGCACATTTGAACATGTATGTTTCTTTCCTATGAGCCCTCCTGTTCTTTGCTCCTCTAGGTGTCACAGTTGGGCTGGGTATAAACATGTTTATCATTTTATATTGTTAACATTTTCTTCAAATGAATGAACCTTTCAAGAGCTAAATTGTAACAAGTCTTTGCTGGCTTGTTTTCTGAGGAAACATTGAGTTTCCCAGCACACAATCATGATTTAGAAAAGATGCTCAAAGGATTAAATTCATGTTCTGATTCTTGGACTGTCGTCTTTGAACTTCTGCACATAGGCTTTAGGCACAGATATTTAGAATTTACAACTGTGTATAAATATATTGTAGAACACTGAATAGTTTTTATACAGAATAATACTTGGCTACATTTTAGAGTTGGATGTTCATACAAAAAAGTAGAAAATTTTTTCAGAGAAGACAAGAGTGGTCTACCTTTGTATGTTACGGATATGGCACTTTTGGAAATAATCTTACCCAGTCTTAGACTCCTGGCCATCCTTCTTGCTGCTACTTGCCCTGTAATTTACTACAACTGACAGAATAGGGAAGCAGATTGAGGAATTAGCACCTAAAAGGAAATAGTTTAGGAACTAGACCTATGATTTTAGAATGAAAGCAAAATAATTACTCTTAGGAAGAAAAACAGAATGAAAGCAAAATAATTACTCTTAGGAAGGAAAACAGTAGTTTGCCAATTAAGCACAGCTCAAGTTTTAAAAGGAGAGAGGAAAATGAAAAAACAAAATGATAAAAGCAAATCAACCCACAGTTGCTGTTATATGTAATCTGATGTAGACTGCCCCAACCACATTTACCCTTTATTTGATAATCTCATAAATCTCGGTTCAGTTTAGCAACTTCCTGTCATCACATAATGGTTTTACCTCACCAGCTTCAGCTTGATCTATTGTATTCTGTCTAGCAAGGATACAGAAATATTGTAAAGTGGTAAAAATACAATCTCTAAAGTGCTTTACCTTAGTCCAGGAGGGGACAACTTAAACAAAAGTATGTTGGTAGTTTTGGCCCTGTTCGTTTTCCCTTTATGCTGCCTACCATTGGAATGTGGGCCCCAAAACCTTAGGCTGAAAGAGTTTTTCTTCCCCTGGTATTAGGAGAGAGAAACACATCCTGATCCATATCACTTGAAGGACTAAGATTCCTTAATCTTAATTTTCCTTGCTCACAACAGTATGGATCCATGTTACTAAGAAAAATTAAAGCATTTCCCCATCCCAGTGCTCCTAATGACCCCTGGGGGTCTGTGCCCTGCTCCCAGTGAAGCCTTTGGGAAATTACATACCCATGTCTTTTTGTGCACCTTCTTTCTCAGAACTTACTTCTGCAAGGAAACTGGGCTCATGAGAAAAGTCAGCCCTGCACTACACCTCTTCTTTTCTAGAAGGATTGGTTGTGCTGGGAAACAAGATGCATAAAAAGAGCCATCACTGTGACCCGTGTTTACCAGCAGAATCAAGCTCCTGCTAATCTACCAAGTAGCCTGCCAGATTTTGCAGAAATGCCTTTGAATATTGACGTTATACCTTAAACAACTTGCTAAAACTGTCAGAGTAGACAAAAGCCTGCTTTGTAATGTGAACAGCCAACTCTAAAATTTAGCCCAAGTTCAACTTGAGTTTGTTGGACATACATGGAAGAAAAGAGATGGGCTGGTCTCTCTTGCCCCATACATCCATCCACATATTTATAGGTCGCCTGTAATTGCCGAGGCCTTCCTTTAAGCTCATATTCACATTAGCCAGATTAGTAGTTGAGCTGGAGCTAATTGATTCTTGGGTAAGAGACACTTGTTCTTGTAGCATAGGCATAACTCTAAGTGTTTTTGGCAGACTTGTGTTTTTCAGGGTGGTAATAGAAAGCTAAGTTGAAAAAGGATGTTTGGGAATATTAATGCCTTATTCCAAAAGAAGTCGTATGAAGAATTGTTCTGGTTTCTATGTCAAGGCTTACCGAGCACAACTTGACAATACAAGGCCTGCTGACTATTAATTTAAAGAACCAATGGTATTTCTGTTCTAAAGGTGCCATGTGTATTTAATATATAGTTTTGCACCTTCACTTCAGTGTGTTCAGAGTCAAGAACAACCCACTAAACAACTTATCTGAACCCTTATTTAATTCAGTCATACCTTGTTTC